TGAGGAGTTACATGTTTAGTTATCTTTTTACTTTTTTGGATAAATTCCGGAAGATAAATATTTTATCAATTTTCGTTTCGGTAATAATTGTCCACTTAATTATGAATATTGAAATTATAAGCTAAACTAATTTCAATCAAATTCAATATATCTACAGAACCAGTATTTTTGTCAAGTATGAAGTTAATTATCTTTTGAAAAATAAAACTAGGTAAGTACTCACAGTGATACTATTTTTTTCTGTAAAAGTAAAGGTCTAAGAATCACCAATTCAAAACATAAGTTAACCAATAAATGACTACATCTTATTATATTAAGCTAAAATCAATATAATCTTCCTAATCGGTATTATTGATAGTATAAAAAAAAATTATTAAATTAGACTCCGCAAGTTCATCAATTTACGTGTAAGTTTGGAATAAAAGATATTTGGACTAAAAACAGAAGCATGTAAAATAATATCTAATAATATTTAGAGTAAAGTTACAAACCTAACACTTAACTGTAACAAATGAAAATATAAAAGTATTATTTATGCTAAATATAGGTACTATGTAACTATCAGTAGCTGTACTGCTAATCTAAATATATAATTAATTAATTTACTTATTGATGTACCTACAGAATTCTGAATGCAGATAATGTTCCTTCTTATATTTCATAAAATCTTTCAGAAAGTTTCTGCAAAACGGTGTTTTCTTATGATTGTTTAATTTTGTGTACAATTACCATCTATAATATAATCAAACATTCGTATGCAATCTAACCTTATAATAATATTATAATATATTATTTATAGAATATTAGAATGTATATTGGATATGCTATGAACCTTGTCACAATATAGTGTATTTTATTTAAATAATATCCGTTAAATTAATTAAATCAAAACACGTTTTTATTTTCTATAAATATCGTTAAAAAAATTATCACTGGATCAAAAAGCATGACAATTTAATTTAGTACAAGGTTTCTTATAAGTTTTTATAATATAAATTAAAAAATTGAAAGATACAAAGTTATGATTTTTTTATCGGTAAGCATTTAAAATTAATATTTTTCATAAATCAATCAATATTACAACAAAAATATGCATATTATTTTGTAGTTAAAAATAAATAAAATGTTCAATTTTTAAAGCTAAGGATTGAAAATGTAAAACATGATTTTTCGTAAGTAATTCATATTGTAACCAAAATAAATAAAAAAATATATGAATATAGTTATTTTTCTAATTAAGGTATACATGTTGATGAAGTGAAATATATAAACGGAGAATAGCAAATATATTGGTTAATTTATATTTCGAAGTAATTCAAAAATTCGACTTGTAGGGACTTGAATACTTCAAGTGTGGGTATTAAACATTCTACTATAGACAATGAAATTTCAAAAAATTTAGAATCATTGTAAGTTATGACCTATTCATAGTTTATACCAACCACATTTAACTCACACTATTCTACACCTACGTAATAAAATTCCATATAAATAAACATTAAGTAAAATAATAATTAATATTTAAATATTAATTTATATAATAAACGCAATATTTTTGATACAAATCAAATCAACCTATCAAAGTTCATAAAATTAAATTGAAAAATAAGTTATCTTAATAGTAAAATCAAAAAACATATCACGAAATATACTTGAAATAGGCTGACAGACCATCTCTGTTTTTTGAATACAGCGAAGTCATTAATATACTCGTCTGTAGTCTTCTACAGCAAAACAGTACCCACATGGCTACTTTTTTTTTACTCGGTTTATTAAAAGTAATATAAAAATTGACCATCAATTGACCAACTTGGGTAAAGATAACTTTATTTTAAAAAACTACAGATTTTTAAAATAAATTCCGTTATATAACATCAAAATTAAATGTTTTCTTATGTACTTTTTTAGCCATTGGAAACAAGAAGAATATATACTCAAATGTGTACATACAAATTACATTTAAGATTACTTAATATGTATTACACACATAACATTAGAATAGTTGTTCATCGCTGTGTAATTTACAGGTAATCTTATTATACAGAATATATGAGACAATAAACCAGTACAGGTTCGGTTGACTGGATTAAAAATCTTCGGACAGTGACAACGCGGTGGGGAATGTCGCGGGTACGCGTGGCTGCAGACTTGTATATAAAGTCCACCGACCGTGTCCAATAATCATCATTCAACGGGATCACTTCCAAAAAACAACACTCAACATGAAATTCGTAAGTACAACAACTAAAATCCGTAATCTTTAGTCCACAATTTATAGCTGACAATAATATTCTGAAATTTAAATGTCATTTTAATCGTTTATGACTTTGTGTGCTAACAGGCAACAGCTCTAGTCACTTTGGCAGTCGTAGCCCTCGTCCGGGCCGATGCGTCCAGCGCCGACAAGAAGACGACCAAACACGAAAAGAGAAGCTTGGGAGGTTTCGGTTCAGGACTAGGACTTTCCGGTCTCGGCTACAGCTCCGGTCTCAGCCACGGCTCCAGTCTTGGCTACAGTTCGGGTCTCAGCTACGGCTCCGGTCTTGGCTACAGCTCCGGTTTGGGATACGGTTCCGGTCTGAGCTCCGGCTACGGTCTGGGATACGGTTCCGGTTCGAGCTATGGTTCCGGCCTGAGCTCCGGCTACGGTCTGGGATACGGTTCCGGTTCGAGCTACGGCTCCGGCCTGAGCTCCGGCTACGGTCTTGGCTACGGTTCCGGTTCGAGCTTCGGTTCTGGTCTAGGATACTCTGCTGCCGCTGCTGCTCCCGCACCGACAACCGGCCCCATCGTTCCAATCTCCAAGGAAGTGCACATCATCAACCGACATGCCCAACCTGTGTCCGCCCCATACCCAGTGCCAGTAACTCACGACGTTGCCGTTCCCGTGCCACATGCAGTGCCTTACCCAGTCGACAAACCATACCCAGTCAATGTACCCGCCCCATACCCAGTTCCAGTCGAAAGGCCTGTCCCGTACACAGTCGACAGACCCGTTCCTCATCCAGTACCATCACCTTACCCAGTCCCAGTAGTCCGTGACGTGCCAGTTCCAGTATCCAAGCCATACGCAGTTCCAGTCGTCAAACAAGTCCCAGTACCAGTGGCCACTCCAGTCGTCGTGCCCGCCGTCCAACAAGCCACACCATTGATCTCTTCCGGTTACAGCGCAGGACTTGAATCGTCTGCAATCGGATACGGTTCTGGTTTCGGTTCCGGATACGGTTCTGGATACGGTTCCGGATACGGTTCCAGCTACGGTTCCAGCTACGGATCCGGTTACGGACTTGGATCTTCAGCCATCGGTTACGGAGCGTCATCATACGGTTCCGGAAGCCTGTCCAGTGGATCTTTGGGATACAGTAGTGGAAGTCTGTCTTCGTATGGACATGATGCTCACAGTTTCGATTACAAGAAATAAAACACTCGAATGATTCGCCTACCCTTGCAGAAATTACACTGCATTGACGAAGATTATACTTAAGATTTATATTGTACCGTGTATATTATTGTGTATACACATATTATGTTCTTAGACAATTATTACAATTTTGTTTTTATATATTTTCAACTTTGTTAATGACCGATAGTTATTGACTGAAATTTAATAATAAATATATTTTATATATTAATACATTTGTTACATTTTCTTACTTTCATGAAGAATTTGATATCACAAATTCGCTGGTTCAATTTAAAAAATATTCATTTATGTTTACCCATTATATCCTAGGAGAATGGAATTATGCATTCGAAGTTCTGTTTTAGATAATGTTCTATTGATTATAGTAATGGGTACATGGCAATTACAGTAGCACACTGATACATACCAATATTAATTATACTTTATGAGAAATGAAAAGTAAAAACCATTTATTTTATACACTAAATGAAATATATTATCATCTCCCGAAGTTTAAAATAATAACTCAAACGTTTCAAACCAATGATTAAAATAATCCAATACTATTTTTGTGTTATATTGTACGATTCTCGTGGCAATTATAGGTATGTGTTCTACTTGAATATACGAAGCTCAACTTATAAATTATAACTTATAACAATGATATTAATAAGTATGCTTACGTTGATTGTATATTTTATAATATTTATTTAAGCTATAATTTTAAAGATATTAAGTATATATATTCTAAGACGTTCTAACTAAAAAGTAGATTAAACATAATACATTATCGCATGACCACAGGCAAGTAATTAAATTATAAATAGAATACATATAAGTTAGTGGCATAATTATTATTAATCTCAAGATGTTTTGTATTTATGAATACGACGAGGAACTTTATTTCGTGTATGAAAATACGTATCTAAATTAAAATTTGTATTTTTCATTGTATAAATATAAATTGGAGCCCCCTGGTACATGACTAACAACGCACTACATAAGGATCTACAAATCTCAACTGTCAATGAATTAGCAACTCGTCACCACAAAAAGTTTCACTCCAAACTACACCTAAACCAAAACCCTCTTATTTCTCGCATGTCCTCTTTAACCATCCCCAGCAACCCTCCTAGAAGGTTAAAAAGAAAATGGCCAAGAGACGCCCTTGCCTAACAAAATAAAAAAATAAAAAAACGGACTACATTGAGAACCCATCATTATTAGGAGGTACTGTTGATGGACGGTTTTCCCCCTCAAGTCATTCAAGTCATGTATTATACATTTATACTATCTTATTATCAAATTTACTTATTGTACTACTTGTTGTATAGATTGTAAATATTGCATTAAAAAATATATATATATATAAATTATTTTACATCAAAAAACGAATTGATATTTTTTTTAAGGGAGTTTATACAATACAAAATTTCTAATCATCGCTCAATACTAAAATAACACTTTTAACGAATACCGATTAACATAAAACGTTTAAATAAACTTATAATATGTAATTAACGTACAATAGATATTCTTATAAAAAAGTATATTGTAATAATATGAAAAATAGTAAATATATACATGATAAATAATTTATTATTTATAATTGGTCGACTAATGCACGATTTATAAATTTAATAGGTCACAGAAATATTATTTTCATTACAAGTCTTGTGTGGATTTTGTGTCACACTACTGATATTAATGTGAGCTTTTGAATTATTATAATGTCTTATTTCTTCGTAAAGTTTTTTTTCTAGTTCAATTTCCTGAAAAATAACAAAAAAATATTTAAAATATTTAATTTACATAGTGGTTTCGAAATAACAAATATTGTTAACATTGGCACTGAATTGAGAATAATAATTGTTATGGTTATTATCTTATTTCAATTGTGTTCAATAATAATAATGATAACTATTATTATTGTTATTATTATTTTTATTTTGTTTTTAATTATCTTCTTCAAAAACGTTTACCTGAGATTTTAAATTACATTCATTCATTTAATATAATTAAAATTACTACAAAATTATGATGTATATGTACAGTTAAGTATTATATACCATCGATTACGATCGACACGCGACGTTTTTTCGAGTATAGAACATATTAAGCTAACGATGCGCATGTCAGAAATCTGATATTCCCCTTTTGTCAAATAAGTTTGCCATTTAATGTGTTTAATAATAAATTGCGTACCACAACTGAGGCAGGGGGTTCTTCTTTGGCTCAAATAGAAAAGAACTTTGGGGAACAGAGCCCAAACAATTAAAAATGTCATATTTAAACTCATCTACTAAATTGCGTCTGAATGTTACTGCTGAGCAGGTACTCTCCTCAAGCGTTCGTGTTATGTTTATTCTTTTTTCTTTAATTTACGCTCATGTGGTAATTATGTCTGTTATTACAGATTGAATATTTTATAATAGATGTTTGAAAAAAAATGTTGTTCTTAAGTTTTATTTAGACTTCTATACCCCAAACAAAGTTGGACTTTTTGCACCCATGGGATTGCGTTAATCCAATTCAAAGCCTATATTGATGGAAGTTAATTAATACCTAACTGTCAAAAAAGGTCCTATCCCTTTTTGTGACCACTCATCAAAAAGAGTGAGGGGGAGTGCTAACACTGCTAACAGTACAATATTTCAACAGAAATAAAGCTTTTGTCCACACACAAACATAAATACAGGGCAAATTAATGATAATTTTTAATTGAGTAAGTTTACATGGATTGGTTGAGTTTAAAAAATATTATCTTAAGATTTTTTTTTATTTAATTTTAACTTAGTTCATTAAAGACATATGTAGTAGAATAAAAATAAGATAACAATAAAAAGGATAAGAAAAAGGGCCTCAAGTTGGGAGGCCAATTTGCAGTAGAATAAAATAATGATGATGTGTTGATTCACATTGTGTATTTATTTATATATAATGTAGATATATAATATATTATACATAAATATCCAGGCAATAACAATTATCTTACTAACTCTTTTTTTTTTTTACATACATTGATAGATGTCAATATATATATATTTTAATATTTAGAACGAAATAAATTATTGATTATTATTATTTATATTGGAAACAAGAAGTAAATTCGAGAATTCAAAAATTAATTTACTATTGTGTATTTTTGCACTACCAATAATCGTTTTAATATATTTATAAATGTTTATAATTCTTTATAAATAATCTTTACTCTTGGCTTTGATTAAAGGTAACTCGTTCTTTATCATGTATATTACACCTATAAAAATGTTAAATGGGAAAAAGTTCATGTTAACTGACGTTTCAACTTAAATTTAACTTGTTATCCCGTCACTGTCCAGCATTAACACACACGCACACAAACACACACACACACAAACACACAAGCACACGCGCGGGACTTATCATCAACCATGGTATGTATCGTTTGCGACTCACCGACTCCCCCGCGTGTAGGTCTGTGACACGACTTTTGATCATCGTGATCAGGGAGGTCAAGTACGAGTGCCGGGCCGCCATGACGTCGACGGACTGCGATATGGCGGGCGTCAACTCCACGCCTTCGACGTCACCGGCCCTGGCGACCATGTCGTTCTCGTGCCAGATCTCTCCGAGTTTCAGCGAATAATAGTGATAAATGTGCGCCACTGTGGCCTTGTCCTCCAGACCGGGCACCAGACTGCAGGCCCGAATCGTGCTCTCTTCGATGTCGTGGTCGGGCTCGTCTCTGCAGTGCGACCGGTCGTCTTCCGACCCTGCGAACTCGACCAGTTGCACGAGCAGATAAATCTTCGGCTGGGCGCACATGAACATGGACTCCACCGTCGGGCTGCAGAGGCTGGCCAAGTTGGCCGCCGTGGTGGCATCTCGCTGCTCCTGGAACACGAACTCGTCGTCTGCAACGTGACACGACGTCATTTGGGTCGTTGATTAAGGGTTTAATGTATAGTAGAGTGGACTTAATCTAAAATATATGGACTAGAAATGGGCGATGATTATGATAATAATAATGAAACATTTTTGAGAGACGCCAATGCTAGGGGACTGCAATCCCGTCCTAGTGGTTGTGGCTCTCCATAAAGCCGGATTCACAGCCATAAGTCGTCTGTCATGTCGTCTCCAAAAGTTGAGCTCGGCCCAACTCTGCACATTTTCCGGTATATCATGCCACTATGGTTATAATGGCGCATGGCACGACAGACAACGAAGCTGTGAACCTACAAGCCGTTACGGTTTTAAAATGTCAATGGCATACAGAAGAAAAAAGTCTTTCATGATGGAGGTCGAAGGTGGAGAGTGATATTACTATTACCATATTATTGTGTTGTAATTTAATTTCAAATAAAATTATATAATGTACTTGTTATGTATCTATTCATAAATGATTCAAACAACGTCTGAACTCAAAAAATACTCAACAGTTCTGTAAATAGCCAGTGTTTTTTTTTAAATTTTTTACGTTAAAATTAATTCAATATCGTATTCGGTCATTATTATGCTTGTGTGTGAGTGGATGACGTCATTATTATATAATCTATATAAGCTTATTATGTATACTTGGCCTTGACCTATGAAGTTAAACCGGACTGTTTCGCGTCTCCAAATCTCGCACACCGATTCCAGGTAGCCCTTTCCCGTCTTGGCGGATTTCCATTTCTTGATGTGACATTTGGCTGATTTGAATGAGGCCAAATCCACAAGTGTCGTCAGTATCACGAGCTGTATGGGATATTTGGAAATCTGAAAATCAAGCTTGCACTTTAAATTATTTTCTCCGAGCACGTTACATAACTCTTGTTACAGAAATATAAATTAAAAAAATTAACACAAATGTCGAAATGTTTTTATTTCAGCACTTTCGAGAAAAAAACCTAACCCCCACCACTTTACACGGTGTGCGGCGTTTAAATTTTAACACATATAAATGCATTACATATAGACATCGATGTCGATCGTTGACATCATGTCATCGTGGCACAATAATAATTATAATTATATATGAGTACATTGGGATACCTACGATTAAGGCGTTCAGTATGTGTTCTATTCCTTTGGCTTTGATAAACAGTTCGACTTGGTCGTTGTAACGAATTATAGCGTTTTTGATGAAATGCAACAGATCCAATAGAATACTGAAAATACCGTTTCCCGTCGGGTGTGATTTAGTCGGTTTAAATCGTTCAAATTTTTTTAAATACGCTACAAACAAAATAGTTAATAAACATAATATAATGACGATCGTACTTTTGATTGATGTTCCAGTCGACGTTCTCGACAGAGTAAAGTTCGAGCATCCTCGTTACCGTGTCAAATACCATCGGTTGACCTTCGGGATTCTGCTGGTTCTCTCGGTAAAACACGTTCAACGTATTCAGTCCGTACAGGCTAATGTCTTGATAATCGTATTCTTGGATTTTCAACGTATCCAATATGACAGCTGAAACATTAAAAAAAAAAAAAAACGAGCGCGGTTTAATGTCTCCGAACTTTGGCGTGTGCACACGACGTGACTGCGATTACAATTGATCAATACGTCTGCTTTGAGGGTCTTAAACTTTCGAAGTATATCGTAATCGTCATTTGAAACTATTCCTATGCAAATTATTGCGTTGACCATGGTGCAGGAAAATCTTTTTTGATTCTTCAATGACTTAACGAAAGCCAGTAATCTGTGTACAATTAAAATAATATTTTCTTTGCTGTCTTGTCATGTCATAAGTGTTATTATTCTTATAACAATCAACACTCATTATCTCATTAAGTACATGATGATTAAAATGGTTGGAAAATAATTATCATTATATCGACATTAATTTTGAAAAGGTTCAATTTTTTTTAAAAATGTTCTGCTTTTAATGCTTTTAGAATATAAAATTAAAATATCGTTCAAAAAAATATATATTAAATAAAGTATAATTGTATTTTGTATGAATTTAAAAAATGTCAAAAATATTTTTATTTTGAGATGATTAGTGTTTTACTATTAAAAGGATCATGCGTCACAAAATATTTATCATGATATTATACCAAACATGAATGAAATACTAAACTCAGTGCAGCATTCGGTTTTTATCGAACTGTCGATGGAGTTCAGCAATAAATACGGTAAATTTAACAGCAATCGGTTTAGAATGTTATGTAAATTATCGCCATAAATATCTTTTGAATACTCGACATTCAATAACGTTATAAATTCTTTTATCAAAAACGTGTTGAGTTGTTGATACTACTTTTCAAATCACAAAATAAAATACATAACCGTTGTAATATCATACTTACGAGTATCATAATAATATTTACAATTAAATTTAAAATATTACAAAACGCCTAATATTGATTAAAAATAATATTATTATAATTGTACAAAATCACCTTGATATCTGAAGATAAATTAATAAACACTTTGTTTGCTATATCTAACATAATACTTTTGAGAATAAAATTTTCAGTGACCGGATCAAATGGAACGTCTTCCAACCAATGTGAGATGTGTATGATTTCCGGCCAAACGCACAACATGACTATGTCTTTAAAAGTTTAAAACCAAACTAATTATTTTTTCACGCTGCTTATTATTATTACTTCAGAGGAATTCAACAAATGTTTTTCTCTTTGTGACCCTCGAACAACATAGCAAATTTTAAGTTCACAATAATGATTATAATCAGAAAAAATTTCTAAAACTAGAGTGAAATTAACTCTTATAACATTTAAAGGTAAGATTATTATCTGGGACATCTCGCATTATTTTTATTTTATTTGAATTTCAAACTATAAGCTTTTTAACGCTTAGGCGGCATTAGATTCATAATATTATATTACTCGCAAATACCCGTAACGATGTCGACGGAATATTCGTCTTTGTCGATCGAACAGTTGTCCACGATCTCGCCGAGCATGTAGCAAAAATCGTTTCTCAATTTCATACTGTTCTCGTTGTTTCTCTCGGTTTCGATTTTTATATTGCAAAGTACGGTCCTGTATGAAATACAAACAGTTGTCTCAAAAATACGTTGAACTACGGACTACGTGGCCGTCGTCAATATAATAGGATACAATAGTGTATTAGGAAAAAAAACCCACTCACTCCAGAGTGTTGCGACCGACCCGTGGTGGTTGCAGTATGAAATTAGTAGCATCACCACTCGCACTCGACTGCGAGCTCCACACTGAAAACATCCGATTCAACAGCATGATCACGAATTCGCATAAGGTAAAACGTTCGAATGACACCAATGGCATCCAGAGAAAATTCGGTTTTAACGTGTCGACCAGTTTCCGTACACCGTCGGATTCCATCATGCGTATCGCTATATATAGTGAGAAAACCATCAGATTTTAAAATGCCAAATCGGAAGTATAGTTCACCGGCAAACGACGGAGTGTTGGTGGAGTGGTGGTGATGGGGTGGGTCAGGGGTACAAATTATCACAATCAGCAGACAGCAATAATCAGTTTGCAATATTATTTGGGTACCATTTGGCATTGGACCGGAACATCATGGAAGTCGGAAGTATAGCCGTCATCAAAGTCGTAGTTTATACTATAGGTACTATTTTATGAATGAAATTAGGAAAAACTTACGAAAATCTGTGAGAATACGGGAAAAGAAAGTCGGACGAAACACCTGTTTTCGACAAATTCTATTTTTATTATTGTGATTCAGAAAGGACCAAACGATGTGTGTGATTTATTTTTAATTTAAAAATATTAACCGTAGACCACACTTGAAAATGTCCACCATAATTTATATTATCGTGTTCTGCGAGTAATGAAATCGTTTAAAATACTTATTATTATTATTGTGAGCTGTTTATACAAGGAATGACATGATCTTATTCACACTATGTTGGCAGTCGAATTAGGTCAACTTATACCGAAATTAGAAATCACTAATAAAAGTATATAAAATATCAGTATGCCAGTATCCGAGTACTGTGAAAACTCGGCTCGTGGAAAACCCGGGAAATGTGTGTGTGTGTGTCTCTCTCTCTCTCTCTCTCTCTCTCTCTCTCTCTCTCTCTACCTATTGGTAAATTCTGTTCTATCCTAAGTGAAATGCTGTTAAGACTCGTGCAATGTTACAATACGTCCTTTTCTGTAACAAATCCACCGCAGTTGCTTGAATGACTTTCAAAATAAACGCATATTATACTGTAATGTGGGTATCCTATAACTACTAATGTACACGTCATACAGCTGTCTTGGAAAAATCATAAGTTTTTCGATCGACAGCGATGTAGCGTCGTACATTTATTAACTATACTTACCAGATTGACCGGACACGGCCGCGACGGTATACGAAAGTTTCAATAAATCGTCGAGAAACGTTTGGCTGGTGACGTTTCCGACGAGTTCCATCAATGTTTCCGGTAAAACACTCATGCCCACGGCTTCGTGACAGCAACGCAAGCCGACCGAGTTTTCCGGCACGCTTTGGCGCCTGAGTACGGACGATTGAAGTACGCCGAACAGGAGAATATTGAGTTCGGCTTTCTCGCGGACCAGCCAAATGCACTTGGCTTCGGTTATTGAGACACAGCGGAAGCACAACTTATTAATATATTTTCGCATAAAACTTAAACATTAATCGCATGGGCGCACATTGCAGGTGTAAAGTTGGACAGTGCTGAGATATTTGGTGTTCCTCATACGCATGACTATTATTACGTGATAATAATTTGAACGAAAATAATATCGAGTTTATTGAATTTATACAACTAATAGATTACCAATAATAAACAACAAAATGAGAAAAAAATTATAATAATACAGCGCAATAGTATATATTTTATAGAATTATTGAAGACAATAGTTTAAGATTTTTAATTTCGTATATGATATATTAAATATGTACCTATATTTCTTGAAAGCGAGTCATCGTAAAAATAAAAAATAAAACATAGGTGTGTATGACACACGTCTGAAGAGACTATTCAAACGAATTTTTAATTATTCTAATTCATTTATTTACGTTTAATGTTGATAGTTAAGTGTGTCGCCTATGAGCTGGTATTCACTTGTAAAAAAAATTGTATACAAAACTGAATATGTAAAAGTGGAGTGGTTATTTATTTGAAATCTGAGGGTGCTAAGCGCCCGTAATTACTCCCCCCCCCACCCCACGATGTGCGCCTTCGAAAATAATATATTGTATACTTCACCGATTCAAAAAATAATATCATTAATATTATAATCATTGATCGATCAAATATATTTCAAATGAATTTCGAAAACCAAAATAGATTATCAATTATAGTTATATTATATTATTATATTTTCACCCATTACGTCGTAGAACCGTATTAATATCGGTAGGTTATTTGAACACTCCGTCACAAAGTTTAGGGTCGGCGGCATCAAACACAGGGTCAACATCCCGTCGAGATAATGTGTATATTTCGGTTCGGTCGAAAAGTTTTCGGCCAAATACTCGATTATGTCGTTCGCATAAAATAAATGGTCAAGTGACTGAAACGTATAAATGATATAAATAAGCACACAAAATATAAAAGTTATGTAGCAATAATATACAGAGTGATTCACCAAGCATGCTCACCCCAATTTGTTCTTTTAATAGTAAATTTATTCAAATTCTGATTTTTGGAGTTTTTGAACATACTCAAAGAGGCAAAGACCATATTTTCAAATTCTTGAATTTTTTCTTCTACTTGAGGAGTGTCCTGTGGTGATACAAACTTCTGTTTTTCAAATGAGAACCCCCTCTTGGACTGTCAATTAATTAGTGGATAATTTTTTTGAAAATTTTGATGTACCTCATTAAGAATTCGAATGAGTATAAGTTTCTTATCTATTAAAATGTTTGTATCAAAGATAATAATCCTTATAAACCTTATAACTGGTTTTACATAAATATAAAATACACTTAAAATTGAATCTAGTATTTATTTTACTTGGGCCGTTTTACAAATTATTAATATTAATGACTACAATTTTCAAATCACCATAGCCTCAATCAATTCATTACTATTTACCTTTTATCCTTAAATCACAAAGTAAAAACTCAAAAACTACTAATACAGATTTTTATTTAGATACATTAAAAATTTCAGAATTTATCGTTGAATAGGGATGTTCTCATTTAAAAAACAGAAATTTACACCTCCACTCATTTAGTCAAAAAATCTCAAAAAATTGAAAATATGGTTCTGGAGTATAATGTTTAAAAATTTATAAAATTAGATTTTGAATAACTGCTTAGTTGAAGAAAACCGGGTGAGCATGCTTGGTAAATCGTCCTGTATATAATATACTTAACCCGATATTATAGATTTGAACTTAATCGATAAAAATATAAAATGATTACGACTTTATTGATGTTATATCAATAATTGTGTGTGTGGCCTATACGGTACCTAAATACTAGTTTTAATTTCCGAATAAAAAAAAAAAAATAACAGCCTACCGACGTGCAGTAATTATTGTGGAAGTAGGTAGTCGGACGCGATAATATTTTCAATCCAGATACGGTATACCAGGTCGATGGTCCGGTATTAAAACTTTCTATGTTCGTCTCGCCGCGGATAGTTAATGCCGCGCCACATCGGTCGTCTTATGCAATATTAACGCGCGAAAACAATCGGTCTGCAAATATTATTATTATAACTGCATTAACCTATTATAACAATGCTATCATTGTAATTGTTTTTGTTATTATTGTTTGATATAATTCTTTGGCTTTGTCCATCGTCGATCACTGCACGCGGCCCGAAAACTCGTAACATCGGCTTTTCGTTGACGAGGGTTATAATGACTATATGCACCTATGCACCGAGTAGGTATAGAGGACTTGCGTAATTTATCGGTCCTGCAATAACTCGTGGTTTTATTGCCTTCTGCTACGCCATATCTGACAACCGCAATAACTTATTGGCGACGCGGACTCGACCGGGTAAAAGCCATAAAAACTCATCTTTAATCGTATTATATATATAATATTTGATAAACGTCGAAAAATAAACATTGATAATATTATACCTCGTACACACGAAATAAATTGAAACTCAATTTTTAAATAAAATATTATGTTGAGGATATAATATATTATAGTCGTGCGCGTTGGTATTCGATTCGATTCCGAAGTGTGTTGTATTATGTCATTAGAAAGTACAACGTCTTAATAAGTACCTACCTACGGTGAATAATTAGTGGACATTTGAAACAAAACTAAGTAAAAATCGATTGGTCATCGACTCGAGCTATTCGAATTATGTATAATTTATTTAAATCTGACTGGATTTTAAAATCGAATTGCCCGGCGAAACTAGTCGAAAAAGTACCTTTTTTTTAAACGTGTATGACGACGTGCGCGAGTGTGGTTCCTTACATAAAAACCATTAGTCGAGTGAAATATATTTTATAATATAAGTAATTATTTTTAAAGGTGTCGGTGATCGTGCATTCGCTTCACGTCGAATGTTTTAAATTGTGAGTTAATGATTTGAAGAAAAAAAATCATAATTTATACACCAAGACCGACAAATAATAATTTCCAACAGGATACTTGTGATGTACATAACACCGCGAACGTCCGCGATAATATTGTAGGTACAGACGAAATCACTGAACTTACTATACTGCAGTTGGTGGATAATTGTATTATCTGTTCCACGTACTTGCACAGTCTATCGCAATCGCGGTAAGGGTTTTTCACGCAAAGTAAACATTTTCGAAACAAGTAGTCGAGGTCAGAGATATTTGCTAACGGGAAAGGATCGGCGCAGACGTCCATTTTATATTGAGTTGAATATTAACATTTGAATACAACGAAATCTGAGTGTTATTGCAAGATAATGTAGAAACCAAGATATTATGGCTATTTACATAGAAACAAATACAATAAACACGAGTGTTATCACGTTAGGTACTACATATCTACGATAAAATTTGCACATATTAGAAACCTTACAAATTAAAAACAATAATAATAATAAATTATTCATTTTTTTAGTGTGTTTCTGGTTTCATTCATTTTCACACTCTCTGCGAGTTAAATGCCATTTTAATAACGACACAGTACAACAACCAACCATAATTATTGTATTAACTGCTATCATCATTGATTGTGATTTGAAATGTTTCTCGAATGTTTTTGATGATATAATAATTACTTTAAGACGTATTGTTTAAACAAATAACTCGGATTCTGGAAAACCTTTGCTAACATTTTGTACAGTTTGCTGACATAATATCGATTTATTATGTAATATTAATTGGTTGACATTTAACAAACAGGTAGCTATAGTAAGTATAATAGAAAAAAATTAAACGAACAATTAACGGAAGGATCTGTTTTATTTAGCGATGTCAATACATATAACATATCAATTACATATATTGTTTGGATTATGGCATTTTTGAGTTTGTGATGGATGAACTACATTATTTAACAGATCTGAAACAAAACAAAATCAAACAGTTAATTCATGATCTTTAATAAATGTAATCGTTAATCATATATATATATATTATACGTTTAACAATAAGAAATAAAACGATGTACAGTTTGACTGTACTCTCATTTCTGTGTAAATAAACAAATAATAGTTGTTTAAATTATGTGTGTAAAACTTGTATTAAGTTATGTTGTTTATTTATTCAAATTTACCTTTGGGGATTGAAAAATTAATCTTTGGCTACTCGTGTTAATTATTTGTTATATTTATTTCTATACTGTTTATTGATTTTTTTTTTATTCGCGACCTCGAAAAATAAATAATTGTATAATATGCCACCTGTCACACCTCACAATGGTAAATTTCTTGTTACATCTGCTGAGAGTTTATTATTAATAAAGAAAAATATCTAATATAATGTATTTATGTACATCATGTATATTTCAAGTTCTAGATACATTAAATGTTTGATTTATTAATTTAAACGATTAAAAAGTTAATTAGAATGCTACACTAAATTATTGGATAGGCGACGCTTGTAACTAATTATAATAAGTCGTTTACACAATTTCTTTATGAAAAACTGTTTGGAAAATTAATTTATTTTTCAGTTTAAGGTAATATTTTTATGTCAAAATACATATCCATCCGACTATAATTAATATTATAATGATTTCAGCTTGAAAGCAGATTTGTGTTATTAAAAAAGACTTTTACTTTGTAGTAGGTGTATACACAGTTTTTTAAAAAAATTGTATTTTTATATTTAAAACAGACTCGTGTTATATAACACTTATTAAATCAACATAATTATAAACGGAACAATTTCTCTTAATAATTTAATAAAATAAAAACATTATTGGTCGTTTTTGATTTCCGATATTTATGATTCAACATCAACGAGTGAGTATAATATAGGTAATGGAGGAATAATATGAATATTGATTACTAATGAATCATTAAGACAATTAATGTGGGTGTCGTTGCTGTGATCACAGAAAACATAACTTATCGTAGTTGGTATACATAATATTGTAAGTAGGTACTCACCATCGATTGGCTGGTGGCTGGGGCGGCTTTGGCGACCGATTTGATGGCCTTGGCAGATTGGACTTGTCCGACGACAACGATGTTCATGGATACCTTTTCAGCGCCCATTTTGGATTTTGGTTGGTTTTCGTGGAGTGAAACGAAGTGGAAGACTGAAAGTAAAAGAAAAAAAAACATAAGAATTAATGGTCATTCGGGCGATTCGGCTGAAACCACATTATTATTCATAAATCACATTGTAC